TATTGCTGGAGGAGCTGACCCCACCTTCCCTGAGCTCAGAGTGATTCAACAAGCAGAAGCTGCTCTGCTTTTTGGGAATAACTCTGACCACAAGGAGCACGGTGGTTTTTTCGTGCCCTTCACCTCACCAGGAAAAAATGCAAACGCCACCAAGAACAACTGAGGTCTGCACTTTTCCCAATCCCTGGAGAATTTTGCCTGGTGGCTGGAATGTTTCTGATGTGGCATTTCCTAGCGTGCTGCTGGGCTGGGAGCTGCAGGAACACGGCTCAGGAGCAGGGATGCTGGCACTGGGCAGGCTCTATCCATGAGGGAACTCCCCATCCAGTGCTTCCCAGATGGGAAATTATCCATGGGACAGGAGTAGGGGGACACAACTACAGTCTTGGAGGGTAGATCTGTCACCTTCAGGCAGCCACTGATTGTTTTTATGCATTTTTTAATATTTTTTTTAATAAATTGCCAGGTTTGTCACTCAATCCTAAACCTTTTCCTTTATAAGCTCACACCCTGCAATCAATAAGTCAGCAAATCTACAAGGATTTGTGATTCCCCAGTGGGAAACAGGGCAGATAAATAATAATTAGATCACTTTGAAGCCAATTACTTCTCTCTCTTGATCAACACAGAACACCCTGTCTGTCACAGCAGACATGAAAGAAAAGATGTTGATAATGATTATTAATAATAATATTAATAACAATTGGTAAGATAATAAATTGCTATGCAAATCTGCCAGCCAGCAGGAAAGCATTTCCCTGGTCTCTCTCCATATTATAGGGCTTAATTAATACAATCTATGGACAAACATGTATTTTATTTCCAGAATGGGAGTTGTAATTTCCTGAGGCTTGGAAACCCAGATGGTTTTGAGTTTAGAATATATCAGGATTTGTTTTTAAAGAGTATTTCAGTAAAGGTTGGACGGGGAGAGGGGAGTGGGGTGTCTTTTATTTAGTTCAAAGTTTAATTTGTGTGCCTTCAGCTGAAGTTCAGAGCTTCCAATAGGAGCAGGCATGGGGAAGGGCTCAAGTATGCAGACAGCCACAGGACAATAGCTGTGGGAAGCCTTGTCTGCCTTTGAAATGAGCTGTCATCCAAGGGACTGGGATGGTCCCGGGCTAGGAGAAGCCTGGGATGCTGACCAGGAAAGGGGGCAGGGATCATGGTCTTGGAAAGCCAGACACAGCTCCCAGAATAACACTGGCCCTGTGGCACTGGGAGGATCCCAGGCTGGCTCTGAATGATACCCTTGGGATGAAAGTTAGAGGGTGCCTGGGGTTACTCATCCATCCCCAGGCAGAATAAAGATCCATTTCTCCTTTTTCCTTCTTTTTACCTGGGTTTCTCTGCCTTGGAAGGGCTGGAATTGTGACTCACATCTAAAGCACATTAAACCCTTCTCCGTGGGCCCATGGATGGAGGAATCATTAAGGGCTTGAAGATATCTCAGGCACAAAAGTCAGCACACACTGAGTCATTCCATGTTCCTGAGCTCTGGATGAAAACCACTTTGCTGTCTCCCTGCCCCTCTTTCCCAGCCACTTTTGGAAAGCTTGGGATTCTCATTAAGGTTTTGCAGTCCCACCACCTCCACAGAGCTCAGGAAGTTTTATTCCAGATATGCCGTGCCAGCCTCTTCCTGCTGCTGCTTCCACTCTCATGGCATGGAGCATTTCCCAAAAAGAAAGAGCCACGAAGGCCAACTGGACAGAGGAATTGAAAAAGCACAGATTTCCTCATTTTTCATCTTATCCTATCATTTCTAATGCCACTGGTCAGGAGAGCAATTGTAAATCAGCTCTTCTACCAGGACCAAAAAGCTCTGATTTTCTCCTTCTAACCCTTTTAAGAATTAATATAAATTTAATTACTTCTCAATTAGTGTCTAACTTTATTTCCCTCTGTTAAGTTCACGAGATCAGAGAGTCACCACTTTAAAAACTGCTTTTTGCAGTGCTGAGCAGCCCCCAGCAGCCCCTGCCTGGCCAAATCAGGTTCTTCTGCAGGAGAAATTGATTGTGGCAGAAGCAATTTTATACCCAAACAGTGCAGACCCTGTTTTTCTCTACACCTTCACACACACCACTGTTTGTTCTTCGTGGAGTCCAAAGTGTTTCAGCCAGATTAACCCTGGAGATCGACAGTGTGCTTGAGAGGCCAATAATTGTGGAGTTAGTAACCAAACCCAGGGCTGAGAGCAGCAGAACCACTCACCAGGATTGTCAGGGGATGGAAAATGCAGCCTCAACTCAGGCTCTGCTCAGCAACTTTAAATAATGGGGCAATTAAGTGACTTGATTTCCCAATCACAGTGAGTACCAGCAAGAATTGCACTGGAGATGTGGCCTCAGAGTCTCCCCAGATCAGGGGGTTTTGTGCTGTCACAGCCACCTGGAGCACAGCTGATTGGGATCCTGATGCTGTTCCACAGGCAGAGAAAATTGCTCTTAGGCTGAGCCTGAAAAATGTGTCCTGCCAGCAGCAGTTCAAGGCCAGGCTTCAAACTGGGTTTATCCTTAGGATGGCTGGGATTGGGACAAGCTGAGTTCCACGTGGGAAGGCTCAGCTGCCGCATGGAGTCCCCTGGGGCATCAGCCCTGTGTGACAGCCTTTCCCTTCAGAGGGTTTGGTGGATGCTGGGGAAGAAATTCCACAGGCAGCTGCAAGTTCTGGGCTCGAGGAGTCATAAAGTACACAAATGGCCTGAAAGTTAACAGGGTCTTCTCTGTGGGAACAGCAACCCCCAGCCTTCAAAATCCATGAGATGGTGCAAAACATCCCATTTAATATCAGTGTTGTCCAACCTTAAAAGCTTCCAGCTCCCAGCTCAACTCTTCTATGATTCCATGATTAAATTCCACCTCCACAGGTCCCATTTGCTCTGGGAGCCACAGGGGGCCACCAAAAAAGCACCAAATATCCCAAGACTGCTGATAAATTGAGGAGTGATCAGATTTTTGGGAACTGATGTCAATCCCTCCATACCTTGGTCCTCTAAATTGGGACCTAAAAATAGAGGAGGCTGTTGCTGTCTAGACAGATTTTAATCAAGAGCTCATTCTTTTCCCTCCTGCTATTTAGCATGGAAGTGCCATGGCTGGAATCATCTTCCAAATGCAGAGACCTCACAGAATTGCAGGGAGGAGGCACCACCATATCATTATCCTGCTTCAAAGAGCCTGGATAAAAATATCCCACAAATCCATGCAGGCTTCAGTGGCCAGGGGGGCAGCACCCACCAGCTTGAAAGGATTTTAATTTGGGATAAGCAATCAGCTGGAATACTGTGGTTTTCAATGTCTGTTGTGGATTCCTGGTTGAGATTCGGGCTCCCATCTTCTGGTCTGGGAAATCATCTCCAAGTCCATTGGATGGGGTGGGACATTCCAGGTGAAGGAGCTGATGTGGTTTTGGAGTGGGAATGAGCAGCAGCCACAAAACCACATGGAGAACATTAACCAGAGAATTTGTGGCTGCCCCATCCCTGGAATTGTCCAAGGCCAGGTTGGAGCAACCTGGGATAGTGGAAGGTGTCTCTGCCCAGGGGGTGGGACTGGATGAGCTTTAAGGTTCTTCCCAAGCCAACCCACTCCATGATTCCACAGTTCCAGAGGTGATTTTGGTGGCTGTTGTGTGCATGTCTATGCCCTGAGGTTGTTTCCTGTTGTCTCCCAGTGCCAGAGGGAAGGAGTATGTCAAACAGCTCCATTCCCACTCCTCTTTCCAGCCAATGTCATCTTCTTCCTGCTCATGTCCAGCCCGGGAGCCTCAGACCATGAGCTCATTTGGCTTCTCAGAGCAGAGGCAGAAGCCAGAGAGAAAAAGGGGGGAAAAAAGGAAAAAAAATACAGAGCAAACACAGGCCCTGTGTTCCAAGGGCTGGGATGGCACCAGCTCCTCTTTCCATCCAATCACTTTGGCATTGCAATCCTGTGTTTTCTGGGATCACTCCCTGCTCTGAGTTTTCTGTTTGTGGTGAAGCCCAAAAAAAACCTTTTTTATTTAAAATTTATTTTTATTTATTTTTTTGTGTGTGATTTTTTTAGGGGGACACTTTTATCTACTAAATGCTGAATAAACCAAATAGACATAACAAAAAATATTTTCACCTTTCAGCATCAATCCCAACTCCACCTTTTTATTCCAGATGAAACAGGGGGATGGAGGTATCTCCCAGGACAGGAAAACTTGACTTTTTTCTCCTCTTTCTCCCAAAACCTGCTCAACACCTTAACATAAAATCAATTTTCCAATGGAAAAATAAACCCTGGAAAAGCCATTGGGAGGGATGGCTGGAAGGTGTGTGTATAGATTTTGGGGAACTGATAAGAGAGGGTTTGGTTTTGCTGCAGGCCATTAGATCATGAGAACTCCAGATTTGGAGCACACAGGATGTTTAATTCTCTCCTGGGACAGCTGTGCTAAAAACCAGGACTGAGAAAAATAATTAATGATGGTCCTGGTACAAGCCGTGCCAAGGGAAGCTCCCAGTGGATTCCTGGACTCACCAGTGCCCTGCCAGAGGTCTCTCTCTGCTGGTTCTAGGAGATGGACAAAATATGAAATTAATGTGGGTCAGGGAAAGGAAAATAATGAGAAACTCCAAAACCAAGGCTATTTTTGTACCCTAGGGAACACACACTAAAAATATCATTTATTTCTTTCCCCAAACCAGGGCACCTTCCCTCCTGTTTGCAAACCTCTCCAATGCTCCCATCTCCCCCCAGGAATTGAGCTTCTTGCCCAGAAGGGTTTCATTAACAAACAGCAGAATTTTCCTCAGCTCTGCAAAATTGAAGAGCTCACAGTTCCCAGCACTGGGAAAACATCAGGCTTCCCATGGTTCTTTGTTGTAGGATCGTTGGAGAGCTAATGGCCATTCATGAACTCCCAGTGTTGCAACACGATCCCTTTTTCTTTTTTTTTTTTTTTCCAGGATGATTTAAGAAAAAGAGGAAAAGCAAAAAAGAAGAAAGGCTTTTAGCAGAGACATTTCAACAATTCCTTTAATGGCTACAGAAACAGGACCAAAATCAAGCACTGACTAGCTGTAATTAGACTTTAGCCTAAAAAATCCCCCACATGTAGAATGATTTCAATGAGGATTTCTGGGCACACTTGGCTGGCACAATTTTTCTGAGTGTGTTCTTCAGGAGGGAGCAAATTCCTTCCCCTCCTGGTTGCTGGGTTTTCCTCCTCCCTGAAGAACTTCCATCCTCAGTGATGGCTTTTGCAGTGGCTGGAGCTGAGCAACCAGAGTGGGGATGGCTGAAATGAGTGAAAAAAATCAGAAAAATAAAGAAAAAACCAGAAAAAAAAGGACATTGCATTTTTCCTGGGAATGTCACCTCAGCCATGATTACAACACGAATCCTCCCAGCAGCTGTGCCAAAATCCAGGATTTCCCACCATGCAGGGGAGGTCAGGGCTGACCAATCTTTCCTGCAGAGGCAGCAGCAGCAGCAGGAGAGGTGACAATTCCACTTGTCCCCATGGAAATGGATTCTGGAGTCAGGTCAGGGCCTGTGCTGGGGCTGTTCTGCCTCCAGAGCCCCCGAGCAGCCTCTGGCTGATTCCTATTTCAACCAGCACCGCTGCTTAATCTTGACTTATGGAGGAAACATATGGAATGGATTGAACAAAATATTGCTGTACTCTGTGCAGCTCCTCTCTCCCTTTCCTTGGAGCAGGAATATGAAACATCTGGGATGCTTTAGCACAGCCTGACTTGCTGGGCCCAGCTCTCACCCCGTGGGCCACTGCTCCATCCACCCTGCAGGTGCTTGGGGAGCATTTGGCTGGAATCAGCCCCTCCCCAGGGAATGGGATCTGCCTTCCTCAGCCACGGGGGCTTCAGGTGGAGGAAGTCATGTCCAAAGCTTCCCAAGGCTCTCAGCTGCCAGGGCTGGCTGATCAAAGCCCACAGGTCACATGATCCTGGATTGGTTTGGGTTGGAAGGGACCTTAAAGCTCTTCTTGTTCCAAATCCCCACCAGGAGCAGAGACGCTTCCATTAGGAGTTCCTGCCATCCCAGGCCATCCATCCCAGGATGGTGTCAAGGCCTCCAGTGATACCCACTTTTCTGAAGGCTTGGCTTTAATCACTGCAATTGCATTTAAAAAATAACCAAACTGATTTTTTTTTTTTTTTTTTCTGTTGTGCAGTGACAACAATCCCCAGTTAGTGCAGCCTGTCCCCACAGTCCCACTGCCCGATGGAATTAGATGGGATTTCAGGGCTGGTTAAGGTTTAGCTCTACTTAGCATGGAGCTGGAGGTTCCCTAGGGCTGTCAGCACCTCCACTGTGCCCTGGGAGGGGGCAGGAAATTGTTGGGTGCTCCATGCCCAGCCCAGCCACAGAGAATTCACACCTCCTGCAGCTACCATCCTGAGCCAACGGGCTCTGACTCGTCCCTCAGATCATCCAGGCTGCTGGAGGAGATCAGGAGCCAAGAGCTGGTTCCACCCTTCCTCCATCCTTGCCTGTCAGAGGGAAAGGAGAGCAGAGTCAGGGTCACACGAGGACACTGTGGTTTCCAAACACACCAAGAGCTGCAGCAGCTTCTCTGGGTCTCACCCCTGCCTTGGCCCTCAGCAAGGGCTGGGGCTCTCCCAGCTGGGACAAATATTCAGGCCCAAAGACCTTGGGTTTTGTTCTTCAGGATTTTTGTGAATCAGGGCTCAGCAGCACCAGCTCAGCTCCTCAGGAACATCCAGGATCCCACGGGACCCTCTGCCAGAGGCTTCCCTGAGCTACAGAAGATGGAGAAAATCCACACTCCCCACGAGCTGTGGTGGGGAAAAAGCCCCCCCGTCCATGGGGACACCAAACCTCCTCCAGTCGCTCCCAGCAAGGTGCAGAGCTCAGCTCTGACCCCTTTCCAGCCCAGAAGATTTATGACTCCACCACCAAGTCTCCTATTCCTTGAACTCACCCACCAGATCTTATGTCAACTGCACATTCCTTCAGTGCCTGCTGTGTTTATTCAGTCCAGGCACTGGTTTATTCTCCTGAAATATCTGTTTCAATCTGAGGCGAGCTCATTGCAGGTTCCTATTTCCCCACTGCTGAGCTTTAGGATAAAACCCCCACTCGACAGCTGAGTAAATGACACCAATAAAGGGCTGTGTTTGGCCTGTGGAACAGCTGAGGGGGAGCTAAAGATGTTCTGATTCATGTATTTGTTGGGCCTGCTCTGGAGTGGACCCTCTGTCTCTACTTTCCTGTGGCCTGAACCAAGTGTCAGTCTGGGTATGGTGAAAAACCCCAACATTTCTCAATTGTAATGGGGATTGCTGCTGGGAAAAGTGGCTCGTTTACTTCTGAGGGCTCAGCATGAGCTGCAAGACCCTTGGGATATTCCAAATGGAAAACATGTCTGTGCTGCCTCCCAAAAGGAGGAAGAACAAACTGCCAAGGCTGAAAGCACAGGCTGTTTCACGGGACCCAGAAGGTTCCTCTGTGTGTGATTGATTCTCCTGCACAGGCATTTCTCAATGTTTTTCTGGCTTTTAAGTTAAGGGAGAAAAAGGAGCCCAGGCTCAGTGCTGTGGAAGGATTTTCAGTCAGCTTTGTGGGGCTGCCTGAGAGGTAAAACCCTGTGGTCCATGTGCAGCAGCAAAAGGATGGCGAAACAGCCACAGAGCCTCCTGAAGACTTTGGGAGAGCTTTGGATTCCTACTTGTGAGCTTCCATGGGGCCCTTTATTAGAGCTTTGTGGGTGTGGATGTGTGTTCTTTTGGGGTCTGAGCCAGCTGAACTCAGTGGGAGTCCTTTGAAAGTCCTCTCCTCTGCCCTGAGCAGGCCCTGGACTGAGCTCAGACTGGGAATGCTCCAGGGGCAGGATTTACTTGGAGGAATGTTCTGTGGAAGGAGCAGCTTTTCAGGGCCTGTTGATAGAAAGCCATTACTGAAGTCATAAATAAGAGCATTGGCACTGGCAGGGGTGAATGAAGTGAGGAGTGCATTAGGAGCAGGGGTCATCCAAAGCCAAACCCAGGCAGGAAAGGCTTTTAACTCCCAGAAAATGCTCACATGCTCTCAATCCTCCCAGAAACTTTGATTTACACTGCCTGGGCAGGCTGCTTGCTGTGTGATGTGGCAGAGGGGAGCAGAGGCTGTGTAAGCACCTCAGTGCTGTGGTTTTGGGGGTTTTTTTTGCACAGAGGGGTAAATATTGAAGTGCTGGAGCAGTCAGGGATGTCCCCACTTGGTGTGGTGAGAGCACCTTGGGGACAGGGCCCTTCTCCTGTGCCGGGCCCTTCAGCTGCTCTCACTGTTTGAGTGCTCTCCTGGCCTTCCCCTCACATCAGCCATGCCAAACCTTGAGTGGAAACATCTGATAAAAGCTGGAAGGGTATCAAAGATGGGATTTGAGCACAGTAATTGGGGCCTCAGCTGCAGGCCAGAACCGCCATCTGCTCAACGTGTCCCGGCCTGGTCCTGCGCCTCTAGGTGAAGGCCGTGCATAGCATCCCTGAGCATCCCAAAGGAGCCCAAAATCCTGATTTTCCCCTACTCTGGGAAAAGATCCCGGGTTTTTATGGATGTCAGAAAGAGGAGAAGGAGCTCCCATGTTGCACAGCCCCTGGAAATAGCAGGACATAGTCAGGGTGCCAGAGGGATCTGTTTATAGCAGGGAATTAGAGCTTGGATCTCCAGCCTGGCTCGGGGAGGTGGAGGAATGGGCAGAAAAGCAGCCTGGAAGGATTCCAAGGGTGTGAGCACAGGGAACTGAGGTGGAATATGTGGAACTGGCCTCACAGGTGTGACTGGGAGCACAGGAAACACAGGGAAGGTGCAGCACAAAGTGAGGGAGATCAGCCTCTGGCCTAGTCTTATATTGTTGCCATGAAAAGCCAGAAAATAGAGATTTTTAATTGAGCTAACTGCTTTGTTTGTTTTGTTGAAGTGCCATTAAACATCACCACTTCTTTTTTCCAGCTGGTTTTGGAACTTCCAGAACAATCATACATGATTTTTGTACAGCAGCCCTCTGCACAGCACCATGAATTGTGCAGTTTTAGGAGCAGAAGTAAATACAGGTATTAAACCAGAGGATATGGAAAAATTACTGCTTTTTCCACAATAAATTGGCAAGAAGGCAGGATCTGTACTCTAAAAGATTTTAGTTTCCAACATGTGTGATTGTGGAATCTCATCTATTTTTCATCTTTGACTGCCCAAATCTCTGCTGGCGTAAAAAAAAGAACTCTCTGTGAACGACTACACTTTATCTTAGCCCAGAGTTATTCCTTAAAAACCTCTGCATATTCTTACATCATGCCCTGGGAAGCTGTCACTAATTAGGGACAGATGAATCAATCCTGATAAAATTAAATCCTGGTTCAACTTTTGCCCCAGTTTCTCCTTTCCTGCCGCCCACAGGAGCCTGGAGTGCCTGCCTTGTTCTCACGTCTTTGGTTTTGGTTACTGGAATTCTTTGGGAATACAGGAATGGGATGCTTTCTGTCCTATCTAGAAGAAAAGCTGTGCTTGTTGCAGCAAAGAAACCTCAGACTCAACAAGCCTCAAGGGGAGGTGAACAGAAACCAAAGCTTTACTTTGCTGAAAAAGAAAAAAAAATCAATTTGCATTAATCAAAAACCTCTTAAGAGATTTCCAACGTGGTTTTTCCAGACTCAAGGAGCTTTGGAGGCAGAGGATTCCCACTGGCTGGGTTGGAGTCTCTGCTGGCATCCATTTGGGGTGTCTAATCCAACAGATCTCCCACTGATATCCACCAAAGCTCCCCTCTTGGAGGTTCCTTCATCAAACCAAATCACCTGCGGTCCAAGGAGAGTGTGCCTGTGGAATGACATCCAAGGGAAAACTTGGCATGTCAGCAGAAGTACATTTAGAGCTGATTTATAGTCGGGTGTGAGAGTGGAAAATCGGCTTTGCAGTGTTGGGATGGACACCAGCAGCTTTTCCCTCAGCCAGGCTGAACCATGAGGCTTCCTGAAATTCATTTATCACTGCTCTCCCAAGATCCTTGGGAACAAGCTGAGGGTAATTCTGCATTCCACAAACTTTCTTCTCCCACTGCTGGATTCAAGGAAGGCTCCAATTACTTCCCTGATCAGGCTTTGCTCCTGCACAAATCCCTCAATCAAATATCCACAGCAACCTTCCCTTTGGGACAGAGGGTCGAGGAGTTTTCCTGAACAGCCAGTACAGGTGACAGTCCCACAGCAAATCCCTTTTACAACCTGATTTCCAGCACCTTCCTTTCTTAACAGGGAAAACTTGATATTTTTCCAATAAAACATATGCAAATCTCATTTTTGTGGATTTTTTTTCCTTTGCTGCATCATCCCCCTTGGAGTGTTTGCAGGTTGGGACAGAGAGGTGGAGAGAAGGGTTCAGGAGAACTGAACTGTCCTGATGTACTCATGAGCCAAAGCTTGTGTGATGTTCACAACCAGGATGATTCAAACAATCAAAAAACTGAGATATTTCCTGTCCAGGCATCATCCCTGCCCCTGCTTAGTGGGGCAGCATCTTAGGATGGGACTCTGGTCATTTTTGGGATCATTTTCCATTAAAATTTCAAGCTGAGAAAGACATTAAATTCCCAATTTTCCCACTTTTGCCTCTGGGAAGAGGATCTGTTGGAGATGTGCAGGAGCCAGAGATGGTTTAGGGAACCTTTTACTTCTCATCTTGTTTGCTGTTTGGGTTCTGATTTTAGTGCTGGACCTCTCCCTCTTCTCCAAACGGGCTCTGCTTTTTGTAGGGAAAGCAAGAAAGCTCCAGCCAAATCTCCAAACAAATCTGTTTGAAGGTTCATGGTCTGGAATTGATTAATCAAAGGTGGAGGAGGGGAGAGACAGAAAAAAAAAAAGGGGTAAAATCAAGATAAGAAAACCCTTCTTGCAGGGATATTGCAATTATTCCGGGTTTAATTTATGAACCCTCTGGCCTTGTTGCAGTGTGTTCATCTCGGGTTTGTCTGCGGTGAACAACGTGCCTTTCAACAAGGCCAGGAGAAATTGAAGCTTGGGTCAGGCTGTCACAAATGTTTTCATTCTTGTGATGGCCTCAAAGAGCAGCAGAAAATAGGCAGTCCCCAGGCACAGGGCAGCAGCCAGGAGGGAACAAGACAATCTCCATGGGCCCAAGGCAAGCAGGGATTAAACACCATCCTGGGGACAACTCCTGCAAGGGCTCTGGCTATGAATTAAGTCACTTAAAGTGTTTTCAAAACACCCTCCACAAAATATCTTGGCTTCCTCGTTGGTGAGTCAAGTGAAGAGCACCAGGAGCCTGCGGGAACGTGGCCACCGCAATGGTGTTTAATTCATTCTGGGGATGCTTTTTTTTCATGGAAAGCAGAGCAGCACCCAGATGCAGTCTCTGTCCTCACCGTGGCAGGGAACAGCTTTTCCATGGCTGGAGGGGAGGAATCCAAGCGCCACATTCCAGCCCTGCGGCTGCAGGAGCCACAGCTCGTTACCTGCACCTCTGCTGGCATCAGGGATGTGGGAATTGACACCAGGGATGAGGGAATCGACACCAGGGATGTGGGAATTGACACCAGGGATGCAGGAAATGGCACCAGGGATGTGGGAATCCGGACCAGGGATGCAGGAATCCGGATCAAGGATGCAGGAATTGGCACCAGGGATGAAGGAATCAGCACCAGGGATGCAGGAATCGACACCAGGGATGCAGGAATCGACACCAGGGATGTGGGAATCCGGACCAGGGATGCAGGAATTGGCACCAGGGATAAAGGAATCAGCATCAGGGATGTGGGAATCCAGACCAGGGATGCGGGAATTGGCACCAGGGATGAAGGAATCAGCACCAGGGATGTGGGAATCCAGACCAGGGATGCGGGAATTGGCACCAGGGATGAAGGAATCAGCACCAAGGATGTGGGAATCCGGACCAGGGATGCAGGAATCAACACCAGGGATGCGGGAATTGGCACCAGGGATGTGGGAATCGGCACCAGGGATGTGGGAATCGTGTCCCAGCTGCTGGTAAAGCCATTGGAGGGGTAGGTTCAGCGCTGGTGGGGGCAGCTGTTCCAGCCTTCTGTCTCAGATGCTCCTCATGCAGAGCTCAAATTTTCCATCCATCATTCCAAGCTCTGCTCTCTGTTTCAGGGTCTGATGCTCTGTCCCTGCTCTGAGCCCGATGTCCAATTTCTGTTTTACAGAATATTGAGAAAAGCTCCAGCCAGATTTTCTCCCTGGGTAATTTTCTCGGTTTGGAAGGATTTTGCTGCCGTGTGTTTTGTCACCAAATCCTGGCATCCTGTGGTGATGCCATGGGCAGGAAGCAGATTGTTCCCAGCCAAGGACAGAGGATACAGGGATGATCATCCTGTGCTCACACCCAGCCTGGCTCATTCCAGGGCTCATGAGTAGAGCCTGGAAGGTGAGTTTTGTCAGGATCCTTGCAAATAAAGCCAGGCTTCTGAAGAGGGAGGCTTTGGAGCCATCCCTACCACCCAGGGAGAATCTGTATGGAAAGGGAATAATTTATTTTTCCTCCATCACCCTTGAAGTGCTGGCAGCCCACAGGGTGGTCCAGAGAGATGGGAACACACAGGGTTAAAATCAGCCCTGGCTCCACTAAACCTGATTGCAAAACCCCCTTTGGCTCCAGTGAAACAATTTCCCCACCACCCTCACCAGTTCTGCCTTCCCAGAAAGGTGAAGGACACGCTGGGGAGTTGCAGTCAGAGCCGTGCAAGGAATGCAGATGGTTTATTAGGAATCTGTGCCGGTGCTCCTGCAGCAGCCTCAGTCCTCCTGCGGCCCTGCCTTGCAGCTTTGTTCTTGAGAATCCTCTGGGGAGCTCATTTAAAAAGCAGGAATGCTCACCAAAATTCTGTCTCATATGAGCTGGGAAGTGGAAGGAAAAGCAGGAGACCTTTGAGAAAGGCAGAGACCCATCGAGTCAGGGCACAGGGATTGTTTGCTGCAGCAAAGCCAGGATCTTACCTCTGGATTTGCTGCTGGCTCTACCCCAACACTCTCCAGAGAGCTCCAGTTGTCCTATTTTTGGTTTAGGCTGCAAGCTCTCCCTGCAAACCTGGGCTCAATTATTTGGGTACAGCAGGCTGGAAGTTGACCTGCAGGTGCAAAGAAAAATGTTAATAAACCAATTGTGTCTCTCCAGCAGAGAAACAGAAACAAAACCTGAGTCAGGCACCCTTTGGCTGAGAAAAATTTTGCAGAGCAGAGGTGTTTGCAGAAGCACTGGGAGTAATGTGAATGATTAAGAAATTAGAGTTGTCTTTGCTGAGACAACTTAGAAATAAATGCATGAATTAATGGGAGTTTGATGAGAAGGTTTTAATCATTTTTATAGACAGCTGTGCACAGGCAGCAGCTCCTTTTCCTGACTGGGAAAAAACTGTGTTAGTGCTGATGTTAAGATGCCACTGAAGGGGAATCAGGGTGTGAGGGGAAGTCTCTGGGAAGTGAACACGTTTATTCAGGATGAATGATCCCCCTGTGGTAAACAGATTTCTCTAATCCCCCTCTCTCGTGGGGTAACTCCTCCGATGGTATCAGATCTTTGCTAGAACCAGCAATTTTTCCTACCAATTACCCACCAGTTCCAGCCCATCTCCCTCTGAAATAACAGGCAGGGCATTCATGCCAGATTCCAATCGGATGATAAGGGAATTTATTGCTGAGATGATCACTGCAGCCACGGTGATGAATGGGTTCGGAAGGGTTTTAGGGCATTATTTCCCCACGCTCCTTTTTGTGCCTGTGCCTGCAGACCGGCTCCTCCACAGCCTTTTAGGGGGTTGTTTCTGCACGAGGATGGACATTTTTCTCCAGGTTTTATTCATCCTCCAGCTCTCCTCGCTCAGAAAACAAGAGAAGGACAATTAAATCCATCACAGGGACAGCGCTTTTGATGGGGTTTGTTGTACTTGGCACCCTGTCAGCAGTGGGGCCCGTGATGAAAAAGGTGCACGTTTAAGGGGCTTTAATCATTGCTGAAGAGCCGTGCAGGGTGTTAAAAATGAGCTGCTCTGCTTCTGAAGCTGCTGAGGAGATGCAGTTTGAAGATGGGCTCCCCACTGCTGCTCAGCTCCAAGATTTGAGTTGTTCTTTTTCCTTTCCTAGAAACAAGCTCCGTGGTTTTATCTGAAGCTGTTTAATAGCAAAGGTGGATCAAAGGGGAAGATTCTTAGCTGCAGTCCAATAAATTTGGCAGGTGGTAAAGCAGGTTGGCATCTGAAAAGCTGGTCCAGCTCATGGTTCAGGTCAGGCTTTTTAATAATCCCAAGCGTCAGGAGCCACTTCCCTTCACCCAGCCCAGTTTAGACCAGTGACAGCAGCAAGAAACAAAGCAGAGCCAGGGAAATCCCCAAATTTCTGCTTCTGCTGGAGAGGAAAAACAATCTGATGGCTTTTCACAGCCCTACAAAGCCTGAACACCTTGAGACAGCCCCAGCTGATCTTCCCAGACAGTTTTTCTCTCCAAGCCAAACTCTTCCATGTCTTTTTCTCGTTAAGGATCATCTGTTGGATCACTCTGAGGAAGCAGTGGGATGTCCAGAGCTGTCACTGTCATCTCACACCAGCCACTGCCAGTGATGCTGTCATGCTCAAGGGAAGAAAACAGAGCTGAGAATGCAGATTTAGGGTTTATTTATTAAAAAAACCCCTCATATTTTAAAAATCTGGGGTGGTACCCTGATGCTGTCCTAACAAGGAAGGGCAGAGGGCACTTCCCAGGGTTTATAACCAGCTGGAAGTCTGAACCTGGCTGTTTTTCCCATTCTCAGAAATGCAATGAGGGTTACCATGCCTTTATGTCATTAAAACCTGGGTGGATTTTTGGGGGGCATAGAAAGACAATTTCCCAATGGAAGTGCTGCCCCTTTTCTAAGCTCTAGATTTGGTTCAGCTGTCTGAAACTTGGGATACTGAAATTTAGGGATCATCTGTCTCCTCCAGCTGGGCCTCATCTCCAGTATCTCACTAAGAGAAAAGTCCAAGGTGTTTAAAAGCAAGATCCTTTGCTAAATTTATAGAGATGCAGATTTACTGCACCTAAAACTGACCAGAGAGCAAAGTTTGATCTGGGCTCAGCCTTTCCCCCACTTCATTGGAAGACAGTCACATTTGGGGCTCTGTGCAGTCTGGATCCAATACACAGCACACCATTAATAGATGTTGGAAAGGGTTGCTACAAGCTATTACTGAGGCAAAGTAAAAGAAATCAGATGTTTATGTACAATTATGCTTTTGTGCAGAGACAGTAAAAAGGAAAAGTGCCTTTTTCCATTTGGGGACGGCGT